TCATAGTGGACATTTAGGTATTGAGAAAATAAAATTTTTGGCAAGGCTCATATGTTGGTGGCTGGAGATAAATGTAGATATATTTCGTACAGCAAATAACTGTGGAAGATGTCATAAGTCGAAAATTCATCCTTCGAAGTGGACTCCATATTTAGTATTATCTGAGGACCCGCAGAGAATTCTATGCAGACTATTGTAGCCCATTTCTTGCTAAATACTGTGCAGTTGTTGTCGCTGATTCTTCCTCTAAGTGGCCTGAAGCTTTTCATTTAACTTTATTAAATTCTTAAATCATACAGCAAGCGTTAATAAAAGGTTTGAGTTAGAAGGGGGTTCCTGTGGTATTAATAACTGATAAGGACTCTAATTTTGCTGCGTATGTAGTCACTACCTGGTTGAATGGTGTAGGGTGAAGACATCTGTTCACTGCTGACAGGCAACCTTGTTCCAATGTTCAGGCAGAAAGTTTACTCAGAACATTAAAACGGTTACTAATCCCATTACTGATTGGGATATAGCAAAAAATATATTTGTTTATCATTATTTTACTGAACAGTAATAAGTATTATAAAGCAATACACGAAAAATAAGTTGATTGAGGTGAGAATAGGGACAGAAAATGTAAACGAAACACAAAGTATGAATAATTTTATTGGTTAGTAACACTCTACTTGTTTATTTGTTGCTAAGCCATAATTTAATATCATCTTTGATGGTTAGAATAATATGTTATGAAAGGTTTCTTCGTTTTAGTTTCATGAGCTATTAAAGTATATTCATTTTATCATCATGAGCTGAACAATATGTGAAATTGAATCGGCATGGAGCTTAACAAGGTAGCATAGTGGTGCTCAAAATGGCAGCTGTAGCCTAATACAGCTAAATGTGGATGTATATGTTTCGATAATACATCTTACCATAAATGATGAAGTGTTATCTAAGTTACATACAGTATTAGACTTAGAACGATTTACAGAACAGGTATTGAAACAGACTTTCAAGTCTCAACGTCTTATAAATTGCATAGCTCCAAACCTTTATAACAATGAGTTATGTATTTTGACGTATAAAGTTTGTATTTGACCGCTCTTAGAATACTTCACGTTTATTATTAGCAGTGTGCGCATAAAGAATAGATTAAGGTTGAAATCAGTACAGAGATGATTTACACTGATTGCACCTTGAATTGTAATCCCAGATGTAGTAAACTTGGGCTCGACCCTTTATGGAAGAACAGACTCAAACTAAATCTTATCTCTTCCTTCAAAATACTTAGTAAACTATCCTTTACATCCATTCAAACAATTCATTATCCAGGAACTTCTAATAACGACATCCGTAAATCCTTGTCACTAGTGAAACAAACTCATTCTAAATCATCTTTCTATATGAAATACTTTACCTATACATTCTCCAGACTCTGGAATAATCTACCACAATCTATCCGTGAGATAAAATCACTCCCATCCTTTGTTCGCTGCATTGATGCATACTGCTCCTCTGAAAATGCATTGAATTGTTTAGCACCTGTAAATGCATCTTATTCCACAAGTGAGGTTATAGAAACTTTAAATGTTTAGCCATTCTTGTCACTGAATTCACTAAGTGAAACTGCCTACCTGCCGTTACTTTACGTTAACAACGTCCCTGGCAACACTAACTAATTTGAATAATACCTAACATGAACAGTATATCAGTGAGTCACATGACACATGCATTATGGTAGACCTGACTGACATATTTCAATAATTATTGCTTTGTTGGTCCGTGCTCTCTATTTCCATTTTACTTTCTCTAGTTGTAGATGATTATAATTAATTCGTTATGGCACAGGAAATGACCTTAAATGCACCGTTCATAAATCAATAGAATATCCACTTAAGAAGAATTAAAAGTTCCCAGCCGATACATTGCATTGCTGTAATGCATGTCATAAATGTACTACCTGAACAATTTTTGAACTAGTAAACTATAAACAATCTTATATCACATGTTTGTTCCCTACATTTAATGTCACTATTTATATCGAGCTGATCATGCCTGTAAATTGGCGTGAATTCTATAATTATTATTTTGAGAAAATATATTATTGTTATCATTTGTAGCATTCTATAAACACATGTTGCCAACTCCATTCCTCAATGAGTTCACGTAATAATGTAAAAGTATGAAACCTATTTATCTGCACTACATCATGAAACTATCAGGAAAAGACAATATCTCAATAGTTATTATACTGTTATTGTTCATGGCATATAAAATTTACAAAGTCTATCTTGATAATCTATTTCCCTAAACTCACTGTTCGATACACTAATTTTAATAACCAATGTCAACTGATACATATTTTTCTCAATATAATGTCTGTTGAATGGATAATTTTGAATTATTGACAGTGCACTTACTAACATCAAATAACCTAGCTGAGTCAAAACATCGGTAAATTATAGTATAAAACGAGATGACTATTAGACACAAATACATTAATTTTATACAAGACATTTTCCACAGCAGATTATTGTTTAATTGCACCGATAACTGATTTTCATATTAAGCTTCATAATTTTGCACTTTTTATTTGCGAGGGGGGAGGGTGAGAATATAAAATAATTAGCAATAACATAATTTAACCCAAATCTCATTTACATTAAGGATTACGAAACTTGATTTAACAGCTGATTATTATGTAATCGATGTTTTTCATCATTCTCGGAGCTGTGGTGGTATCAGCAAACGGATAAAATCATTTACGATACCGAAAAGAAGAGTGCTAAATATTGGAAGTTCGGAGACTACTTATCATTTTCTCGAAGTAAATAACATACAGATAAAATATTTAGAGAAAGATAGCACGAATATTACTGACAGTAATTTTTAAGCCGAGAAAACGCGCTAATAATCGATTGTGAAGATATTTTAGCAGGTTATTTCATTTTGAAGCTTTTCTGAGTAACATAGTCAAGAAAAACAGTAAAATGCTCATGGCAAACTATCGAACTCGGAGAATACAACACTACCAAAAATCTTTAAACATATCTTTTTGAACAAATAAATCCCAGTAAGCTAATTGAGAACTTGAAACATTTTATACAAAAAACTGATCTCAGTATGATTCACAACACATGTAAATTAGTTTGATTTGTTTCCTAATGTTATGTTTCGTCAATCTAAGGATTTAGAAATAAACACCAAACATTGTTACGACTTGTAAAAATGTTGAACAGTTGTAATCATCTTAATCATTTTGTTGTGACTGTAAAGAAAGCACATTATGAAATGATAAATATTTGGATTCAAAAACTCTGATCGAATGTTCTTAATGAGAGCTCATGAAACTCAAAGGATTTCTTTGATATCGTCATCAGTGTGTCCTGAGATCTCTATCAATATGGAGTTTTGTAGAAATCATTGAACGTTATTAATACCACTAAATGGCCTAATCCAGACATCAACAGAAAACAACGAAAAACTGGGAAGCTCTTTTGTCTTAGTATGGGGCTCTCTAGTAGTGCCCATCAACGACCCCACTAAGGATTGAGCTCAGGACATTCACCCCCAAGAACCTAACATCTAGACCACTGACCCGAAATCTAATGGTGTACATTCCTGATATGCTTCAATTCATGATGCAGCCTGACATTTCTTCAATGTTTCCTAGTTTTTAATGGATATCTAATTTAACTCGGGTAGTGATATCAATCATGTGATTTCATTTCGGAAAAAGATTTTTTAAGAACAACTTTGTTTTCTACAGCTTTGAAGTTTTTCATTGACTCACATTTAATCGAACTATGGTTTTAGGCTAGAATTCAGAAATTCATTATTCCGGTTCACAAATGTTCTATAATCTCTGTTATGTCCCGATGAGAATAATGAGTGGAAATTTTTAAGATCTATTTATGAACCAATACTGTGCGTATATTTTTGTCGTATAATTGTTAATTAACTAAACTATTCATAGTCATGTCTCTCTTATCATAACCTTAATTTTAACCTATTAACTGTTATTATACGATTTTCCATTATTGAATTATTCCCTGTCTATTAATCACTACCTCCCTCATTCACAGCCACATTTGGCCAAATCTTGTACAAATGTTATTTTCTATTTTATGGTACGTTGTAGTCTGTTTGATTGGTATATAAACTCAGTATGTTTGAAATATAATGATTCATATCACAGAGGCTCGGATTGGTGTTCTGAACTTAACTGGCTGCGCTAGGCGGGAAGCAGGACCAATCAGGACTCTAGACTGCTCTTACGTGTTTTACGCGTTCTTGGTCCGATCGGTAATTCATTGCTTCTGATTGGCAGCCACAAGCTATAACAATCTCTAAGTTGTCATTTTATAAAGATTGTGTCAGAATTTTTCTCACCTATTATCTTACATTAACACGACCTGTTAAATTGTACTCAGAATCCCATTTTTTTATTTGATAATAAAATAATTAAGATCAATAAATTTATCACCATGCCCACTAATCTTGTTACAAGGATCTTTTCCAGGACATGATATCTGATTTATGAAGATACAAATTCCGATGTTAAATGAAGTGCAACTGTCCACCACGTAAAAACTAGAACCGAAAGTGGGGTTGAAATATCGTATTTACAATATGGGATAAAACATAGTAGACGTCATTATTTACTAAGTAGATGGTGTTCTTTTTAATAATTTGGGTTTTTAGCAGTTGTAATAAATTTTCTCTTTCTATTCAAAGAAAAATGATCAAATAGAAGAATTGTGTATTCTGAAAAGATTTTTTAAAAAAAAATCATGAATTGATGTTAATCGGTCACAACAGTTAAATGCCTTAATCTTATTGTAATTAGTCCTGAATCATCCGTTGAAATAACATTTGGATACTTTTAAATGATAGGTTATCCTTTCTGTAACATTCTTGTTCTAGTGAATCCTGATTTCCTCAGTCGAAAATAGGTTGTGCCAATCAGTATGTGCTACGATCCTGTATTTCAATACTATTACTTACTTACTTACTTACTTACGCCTGTTACTCCCAATCGAGCATAGGCCGCCGACCAGCATTCTCCAACCCACTCTGTCCTGGGCCTTCTTTTCTAGTTCCATCCAATTCTTGTTCATTTTTCTCATATCTATCTCCATTTCCCGGCGTAATGTATTCTTTGGTCTTCCTCTCCTCCTTCGACTTTGAGGGTTCCATATGAGGGCTTGTCTTATGACGCAGTTCGGTGCTTTCCTCAATGTGTGTCCTATCCACTTCCAGCGCTTCTTCCTGATTTCTTCCTCCACTGGGATCTGATTTGCTCTCTCCCACAGTAGGTTGTTGCTTATAGTGTCCGGCCAATGGATCCGAAGTATTTTGCGTAGACAACTGTTAATAAACACCTGTATCTTTTGGACGATGGATTTCGTAGTTTTCCAGGTTTCCGCCCCATACAGTAGAACTGTCTTGACATTTGTATTGAAAATTCTGACTTTGGTGTTGGTTGCTAATTGTTTTGAGTCCCAGATATTCTTCAGTTGTAGATATGCTGCTCTTGCTTTGCCAATCCGTGCCTTCACATCTGCATCAGATCCACCGTGTTCATCGATGATACTGCCCAAATATGTAAAGGTTTTTACATCTTCCAAAGCTTCTCCGTCAATTGTGATTGGATTGGTACATGTTGTGTTGTATCGAAGAATCTTGCTTTTCCCTTTGTGTATATTGAGACCTATTGCTGCTGAGGCTGCAGCTACACTGGTTGTCTTCTCCTGCATTTGTTGTTGTGTGTGCGATAGAAGAGCCAGATCATCTGCGAAGTCTAGATCATCCAACTGCATCCTAGCTATCCACTGTATCCCGTGCTTCCCTTCAGATGTTGATGTCTTCATGATCCAGTCGATCACCAGGAGAAAGAGAAAGGGTGAGAGTAAGCAACCTTTCCTGACACCGGTCTTTACTTCGAACGACTTTGTCAACTGTCCTCCATGAACGATCTTGCAGTTTAATCCATCATAGGAATTCTGTATGATATTGACTATCTTCTGAGGCACGCCGTAGTGTCGAAGAAGCTTCCATAGGGTTGTTCTGTCCACGCTATCAAATGCTTTTTCGTAGTCGATGAAGTTGATATAGAGTGATGAATTCCATTCAATTGATTGTTCCACAATGATCCGTAGAGTTGCGATTTGGTCTGTGCACGATCTATCCTTACGGAATCCTGCCTGTTGGTCTCGAAGTTGGGCGTCTACGGAGTCCTTCATCCTGTTTAACAATACCCTGTTGAAGACTTTTCCCGGTATTGAAAGAAGAGTGATTCCCCTGTAGTTGTCACAGTTGCTGAGATCGCCTTTCTTTGGTATTTTGACTAGAAGTCCTTCTTTCCAGTCTTTTGGTACCTGTTCCTCATCCCAGATCTTTCTGAAGAGAGTTTGGAGTATCCTTGCAGTTTCCGCTACGTCTGCTTTCAGTGCCTCTGCTGGAATGCTGTCTAGTCCTGCTGCTTTGCCACTCTTGATTTGTCTGATAGCCATGCTGATTTCTTCAATTGTCGGTACGCCAACATCAATTGGGAGGTCCGTGAGTGCTGCTTCGATGTTGGGTGGGTTCAGTGGGACTGGTCGATTCAAGAGTTCTTTGAAGTGTTCTACCCACCTGTTTCGTTGTTCTTCAATGTTGATGATTATCTTGCCTTCCTTGTTTTTCACTGGTCGTTCTGGTTTACGGTGATTTCCGGAGAGTTTCTTTGTTGTTTCATACAGTTGTCTCATGTTTCCTTCTCTGGCAGCCTTTTCCGCCGTCATTGCCAAATCTTCCACATATTTACGTTTGTCGGTTCTGATGCTCCTTTTCACTTGCTTGTTTACTTCTGTGTATTCAGCTTGTGCCTTGACTTTTTCTGCTCTTGTTCGACTGGTATTGATTGCTACTTTCTTGTTCCTCCTTTCTTGAATCTTATCCAGTGTAACAACAGTGATCCAATCCTTGTGATTGTGGTTCTTTTGGCCCAGAACCTCATGACATGTTGAAGTGATTGCCTCTTTTATCTCTTTCCAGTTGCTCTCCATAGTAGTTCCTTCTCCATTGAGTAGATCATGAAAGGCTTGGAACTTATTGCTGAGGGTTATCTTGAATTTATTGAGTTTGTCATTATCCCGAAGAAGAGCCATATTAAATTTTTGTGATATTGTCCTCCCCGTTGTCCAGTGCCTCTTGAGTTTCAATTTCATCTTGGCGACCAGCAAGTGATGATCTGATGCTATATCAGCTCCTCTCTTTGTTCTCACGTCCTCCATCGTCCTCCTGAACTTTTTGTTGATGCAGATATGGTCGATTTGGTTCTGTGTGCTGTGATCCGGTGAAGTCCATGTGGTTTTGTGTATGCGTTTATGTGGGAATATAGTCCCGCCTATGACCAGTTTATTGAAGGCACATAGATTTGCCAATCTCTCACCATTTTCGTTCCTTTCTCCCAGTCCGTGTCGTCCCATGATCTCTTCATATCCGGTGTTGTCAATTCCAACCTTGGCATTTAGGTCTCCCATCAGAATAGTCAGGTCTTTTGTTGGGCACTTCTCGACGATTGACTGCAGCCTATCGTAGAATTGATCTTTAGCGTCTTGATTGTAGTCATTGGTAGGCGCGTAGCATTGGATGACGTTCATTGTAATCCCCGTTTTCTTTGTTTTGAAGGAGGCTTTGATGATCCTTGGTCCATGAGATTCCCATCCTATAAGTGCATTTTGTGCTTGTTTGGACAGCATCAATGCAACTCCTTGTGTATGTGGGGCATTTTCTTGTTCATGTCCGGAGTATAACAGCAGCTCCCCTGAAGCTAGTCGTTGTTGTCCAACTTGCGTTCAATGTGTTTCACTGATCCCAAGCACCTCTAAATTGTATCTCCTCATTTCTGCAGCAATTTGGAAAACTCTCCCAGTCTCCCACATTGTGCGAGCATTCCATGTACCTAAATAAATGGTTGCTCTGGTTGTCAGAAGGGGCATCGGCCTCGTGACTTCCGAAGAAACTCGGCTTTCATCATGAGGCGTCATAATTCTTCTAAACGAAGACCTCCTGACTCCCAAGGCAGAGTTTAAATGGTTTGAATAATTTTTTCTGGTTAGCGTTTTTTTAGCGAGTTAGTTTTCTACGGGATGGGGTCGCTAACCCCATGCCCAACCCTCCTCCTTTATCCGGGCTTGGGACCGGCAGTAGCCCCCGGAAAGGGACTCCAGGCGGAGTTATTTCAATACTATTATGCAGATAGTATTATCCTCCAAATAAAATTCGATCATTTATTTACAATCATTCCCCTGATTCAAAGCATGGACTTATTTGTACTGTTTAACATCCATGTTTCCATAACTTAAACAATTTTCAACCACATATTTCTTACGGTAGCTTGTATTTCTTTGAAAATCACCTAATCAAGACCATAAATTTTTATTACTAACGGTCATGTTGTGGTGTATGCCACTTATATCGAAAAACAGAAGTATTATATAGCATCAATCGGAAGTGAGAACCCTGGCAGCAAATGGCTAAGAAGATCGTATTGAAGAAAATAGAAACGGAAATAAAAGTGCACTGTTGATAGGAAGAATCATAGAGAATATGAAAGACAAATGATGGAAATTTGCAAATGGAGCATCCAATGTATGGTCCTCATACTTTAAAAAGACAGTCTGTAATTATGTTTTAAGATACATTGATTGTCCCCACCTGTGTGTTCGCGTTCACTACAATATGAATCAAGAAAATGCACAAGTTTGCAGGTACAGTAGTCAATGACTATAATAATCGAATAGGTTTTAAAATAGTATTATATCTCCATTTGTTTATTCCATAATGACTGTTGACATTCATCTTCCAGTATGTATTGAATCAAACTGATTACGTCCCTTGACTAGATCATATGAAATTTTATGAAAAAAAAAGAAGTAAGCTTAACGCCTTAAAAATTCGTCCGTTTTCAATGTGGTATTTATTAAAATTACGTTACTATTATTGTATTTTCACATTAATTATTTAACTTCAAACAATAGTTCAAAACTTATGTAAATTATTGAACAATTTGTCATTGTTTAATAAAACTCAATAAATATAGAGCTTTGGTTTTTGTTAGAATAAAATGTTGCATCCTAGCAACCTCGTAAATTGCACAGTTGTATTTTCTGGTTCTGTAATATATATATATATATATATATATATATATATATATATATATATATATATATATATATATATATATATATAATTTATTAAGGCTGTAGGTATTTTGTGGTATTGGTAAAAAATTGGAGTACACTCATATGTTGCTTATCGTTTTTTATTATCAGTAGAGGGTACACAACTAGAACAACAATTAACCAATCATTTTAATGTTGAGCAAAAGAATAGCAACTTGAAATGACCTTGGATATCACTATATAGTTAAAACAATAGAAAACTTATAATGTTTGTATGTTTGTGAGTGTGTAAATTACGGATGTTAGATCAACTATTTGATATGAAAAATTCTACTAATTTCATTCATTGTGAAATTTCTAAGCAGTTTTTTTTTAAAAACCCTTATAAATTATAGTAGTACTGTTTGAATATGAAAAGGAACATATAAGAAATCTGTAATTTAAGTAAACGATAATACCTCCCAATAGATACTTCCAGTTACAAATCTATTTAATGATAAACGTCACCAAATTATGAACAGAAACAAGGAAGAACTAAAGCAAATTTCATCTCAGAAGCCTTTCATTCTGGTATCCTCACACGTAAATATGGACAATAGTAAAATTTCATCAGACGATTCGCTGACTTCACATGATACACCTCCATTTTTATCTCACATGTATATTGATCAAAAGATTCATTCATTCAATAATAAATTTAATTATTTAAAACCATATTTATCAAAAGGTTCTAGAGGATCTTTACCTTATACACTTAATATACCTGAGTCTATACCAGAGGTTTCTGTTTCACCACGTCGTCATTCCGTATCATTCAATCTAGTTGATAGTCATGCACAAAATTCTTCACATCATCAACGTTCAAGTTCATCTTTATTGGACGATATCATAATTGAACCCATTGAATTTGAGAGATGTTTATCTCCTTTAAGGGCATGTGATTTAGCTGCGCCATGTAGTAATACATTCGAAGAAGTTCTGAAAACACTTAAACAAGACAACCGCGATGATCGTTATAGCAATGATGAATTTATTGGTTAAGAAGGAATTGATATTTCACCGCGACACCTGATTTATATCTCTTATTTGTATATATAACGTTATATGAAAAAGTGCTTATTTAAAATTATAGATGAATACAGTTTACTTATGGCCACCAGCACATTTTTTATTTTTCTTTGTCTTATGTAGTCAGTAATTATTTTATTATGAAGTATTGAAAACAACTTCTGGCAAATCAGTAAGTAGCTTATGTTTTAACTTACATGTGCTTTTTACTTCATCACAGGTGATTCAATATTTGTTAGAACTTACCAAAAAGACCCACACGAAATTTGACAATTTAGTCTTACTAACATTGGGAGCAACAGTAAAATGTTGTTGTGACATTCTATATCCATTTGTTCTAGTCAGATTAATTTTGAAATAAGTGAATTATATGATTACACTAAATACCTCATAAATCCACATTAATATATATCTAAGCATTAGAAATAATTTTGTGCTCTTTATAAATCACACTACTGAAAAGAATAAACGCAAATAGTGTGGTTAAAGATGGTCGAAATTGCGGGATGTTTTACCTTGATGACACTGTAAAATTTTCTGAGTACATAAGTCCCTGTGACTATTTTAGGAAAACAGAATACTTGAACCCTTCTTCAAGGCTATAGATCCTTACCTTCATATTAAGGCTAATGAATTGTTGGGAGCTTCTGTACGTCAGGATAGAGTGTCATCCTAAAGCTTTGTCTAGTACTGTTTTCTGCAATTTTTTCAAATCAATTTTTTGGATATGAGTTATAGATGTAGAATTCTAGTTAAATTCAAATGTCAAGTTTCAGGGAAGGTTTTTTAGCCTGACAGCTTTTAGGATATGCAACAATGGAAATTATTTTATAGCAATAACTTTTATCAAACTAATAACTAACAGTAATCTGGATACTTAGTTTTTTAAAAAATCCACGCAAGCGTAATACACAACTCGATTTATAAGCAACAAGCAGTCATGGAAAATAGCCTTTCCAAATAAAGTATCTACTTTGTAGTTAGTACTTAATGTAACTATTTGAACAACTTGAGATTGTTCGAAACGCTTCCATATGGCAAGCCAAAATCACTTATTTTACAATGATTGTGTATTCGATTCCTTCCGACAAATAAGTTTCCTGTGTTGGAATTCCTATTCTTTAGCTACTGAATAACCAAGACATTGTGGTTGATTGTCTGGATCAGTAAATTACAATATGTTTTAGGAGTAACTAGCATGTTATGAAAAGCACAATGTCCAATTTCATTGATCGCTTTTGTTTGTATTCTAATGTAAATCTTTTGTGCAAAACAAGTAGGTAAGGTTCAACAAAAAATTAGTATAAAAGCCCATCATAATTCGTGCTAGACGTTTCACGTTTATGGTACATTGGCTTATTTGTCGGTTTTCTGGTAATATATAGTGAATGAATTTATCACAATAGGTGTAAATTCAAGAATTCCCTTATTGTGGATTAGTGTAACTTAAAGACGTGTGATAGACTGAAACAAAACATTGACGACATATAATGTCATACATTAAATTTTTATCATTCTTACATTCTATCAGTTCAAGTAAAAAAATACAGGTTACTATCGGCGAGGAAACCATCAAGTATCAGCTGCTACTCATAAAATGAGGTTTAATAGTTCCTTAAAATCAATCAACTTATATCAGATAAAAATGGGTTTTGTGGAGATTTAAAAAATTTCAGTAGTTGAAAACCTGAGTCAATTGGAGCTAGACCACCAAAAAAATCTGGAAGCACAGTGCCTCTAGGTTTTCCATGGTGGTCTAGCTTCAATTGACTCATGATTTCAACTATTATATCAGATAATTTAATAATGATCACCCTGTTTTCACGAATGTTATTGAAAGCGCTTGTTTAAGTAATCATGTCAATCAGCATATTTAATCGTTTATACATCTCAAACATCATGAAATTATGAAAGTTGAACATACTAAAGAGTTGTTTTGTTCTCAAAATAAGAGTTAGATGATAAAACGGAACACAGTTGAATCTTCCTTTCATTAATGCTGTATAATATCCAATGTAGTTTAAATAACTCTTCATTAGAAAATTGTATTTCTTTGGAATGAGAATCAAAGTAATCAAGGTAATTGTCAATTATTATAGTGACGTGAAATACAAACGGTTTTTATCCAGGAAAAATACTCAATAAGATAAACAATTCAATCAGATATTAAAAAACTAAGCCACTCTTGGTAGGATGTAGTTATTAGTTTGTTTGTAAAATATTCAAAGAGTACACAAATAAGTGGAAACGAATACGGTAGTTTCTATAATAAGAAAAAAATAAACTTGAACTCTGAAACCCAAATTTATATGTAATTGTATTGTTACCATGATTTAGTTCCCATTTAGGGCGTGGTTTAATTTGTTTTCTCATATTTTAGTTTATTTAACTCGTTACGAAACATCGTTTTGTGTGCTAAAAATAACTAAAATACACCAAAACAATTTTCATAAAGCATTGTTAAGATGCAATTTTCCTATATAAGGGAATAGAAAATGAAAATTTTGGTTTGTAAAAACAGATTATTTATTTTTTTTTTATGAATAGGAAATAGATTCTTCTAGGTTCATTACTACAGAGTTGCAAGCTCACAATAATTACATATATTATGTTAGAAAAAATGCCTAGAAACCTTTCAGCATAATGATAGGTTTCATGTGTCTACTAAGAGTCATAGTCTGAGATTTTATAAATCTTGCATTACAGACGACTAGTAAAGTTGTGGTTGTTTGGTAGAAGAATAGACTACAGGGAAATAAGCATGACGAAAATATTCATTTAAGTTTAGTCAAAAAGTAGTTAAAGAAAACATCATGATAATTATTGTGATAAGACTCATTTCACTAGTATGTCTCTTATGAAGAATGACTTATTTATATGTATTGGAATGATCATCTAAGTCAAAGTTTAATCTACATAGTGTAAGGTTACTATAAAACTCTTAGACTGGTAGTTCGACTAAATAGAAGACTGGGCTAGGTGATAAAACACTATCACTTATGACATGCAAACTGGCTAATAAATGAATTTATTTTCCATGAGATTAGCTATGAAGTTGAAAAGATAAATTAAGAAACTTGAATTTTCTTCAAAATTAATAAAAACTTATTTGTTTTAAAAATCCTACTTTAGTTTCAATAAATTTTTCTGCTCGGATATTTGAAGTGTAGAGGCTTAACTATATCATCATATCTTAAATTGAATTCTACTTTAAACCATAGTATTAGGAAAATAAATTAACAAAAAGCCGTTGAATATAATGGTCAGCTAAACATAAACGTTTTATAATCTTACTGATAACATCTTATAAAGCTAACCTTTTGCCTGTTTTTCCAACTTTATAAAAATATAAGCATTTCAATAGGTAAACAATTGAGTAGAAACTTAGTAATATCAGTTATTTATGTTAACTTTTAAAGCTCCAAACTTTCTATCTGATTAGTCCCTTCAGATAAAAGTAAATTATTAATCGAAATAAATTGGAGAACTACAAAATTTTCAAGAATCTGGTCGGTATTAAGAACATTAAAAATATAATTCCAGCTATTGACCAATTATGATCTTCAAGGTAAGTATTGAGATACATATTGTTAGTTTACTTATCACCATTTATTCGATAGGCAGTCTAATATATATATATCGGTGTACAGCTATGATGAAGAACCAACTAAAAAAAATTATTTCCACTATTAAGTTGTATTTTATAAAGCGTATTTTAGCTATAGAACGTTTTTAACCTGAAGCAATCAACAGTTTCAACATCAAGTATAATAAAACTGACTTTTTTTTCATTTTTGAGGTCTGTAGTGCAAATCATTCAATGTGATTTAGCCCTACAGTTGAATGGAAAACTTTTACTGCACACTAACTATTCTAAACTATTATATTTTTCTGGTAGCTTAACAACGCCTTATTTTTTGACGAACATATATCAAACATTTCGGGCGAGAAAAAAAACACAACAAACAAACTACTCAGATTACATCTTATTTTGTAGTAAACATTGACTTCATTACTTATCTAAATTGAATGACCTTATAAAGTTTCTGTAAATCAAATAAAGTCGTTTTCTATATGAAATAAACATAAATTGTAAAATAATCTGACTGTAAAACATTCTCAAGAGAAGTTATTGATTGGTCACTGATATTAATTCAGGAAATTGGTTGGAAATATATTTATGTGATATGACTCAAAGCATGTTTTGATCTGATTTATCTTCTCAATAGTTAATTTTCAAAGAATGCTGATTCCCTGTTTAGCAACTATATTCGTTAACACGTTATTAGTCGATAATCCTAACCTGACAAAATTACTTTTGTCAATTTATGTTACAGTACAATTAATCCTCTCTAACAATAGTGTTTCAAAATAAGTGGCAACTATCGTTATCTCTTGTCCTATGCATTATGGTTGTGCCTAGTAGCTGGGTCCTCTTATTCAGTTGGTTAATCATTTGTTGGTCGAGTTGATATTCCCTGATAACCGAAAAATGCGTCTAGCCAGTAGCCGTTCTAAAGCTATTTATGGAGACTCCACCAGTGTCTAACCAAAATAAGAGTCGACTTTTGATTGTAATCACATTCCTCTCGTTTTCAAGATCTTGAGCTAGTGGATTCATAATGAGTATTTACTATCTGAATTGATTGACTTAACTTGCGTATTTTTTCACTAAATTACACAGGATTTAAAATTCGATACTTTTGTCTTGATTTTCAAAAGAGTTAGAGTGAAAAACTCGTTTTCTTTGTTTAAAAGATGAATTCTATATAGTTTAGACTAATACCAATTTTCATTGTTTCAATCATAATGTTAACTCCCCGCATCACATGCCCTAAACTATAAATTTTTATTTGCAAAGCATTCGACACCATTTCACATGAAAGTTCGTGATTCTTGATGTATAGACAACTAGACGTTTAATTTGAGACTTCAATAAAACACATTTTAATGTGTTCAAGGTCTTTCTCTGATTATCTGAATAGATATCACAAATGAATGTCGTGGTATTATTAGTCTTAAGAATAATGTTAAAATGATCGAACCTTTAAACCCCAATTCACTTGATTCGATGAAAAATTCTCATTCAAAACGCACTATTAATGTGGCGAAACATGATTCGCGAAATTTTCCTTACCCGAATCGAATATATAATGTCCGTGACTTTAATTCGCATCATTCTACAAGGCCTCCCATTAGCTGTTGGAACTGTGTGATACGGCATTCTTCCCGTTTCTGCCGATTCGATGCACATAAATGCGCGAAATGTGGAGTAACTGGCCA